TTTGACAAGACAGTAGTGACGGCCATCTTGGTGACGTGTGTTGTTATGCGAGACCAGAGATGTAGTTCATTGAGCGTTTCACACAAAAAAATGTGTTACTTCACAGTTTTACGACACATTTTATTTTTTTTGACTTGCAAAATTATCTTTTAAATTGACAAACATCATATGTGTAATTCGTGGCACAATTCAAACGGGATCGAAAGATAATCTTTCTCTCGCCATTGACTTCAATACTTTTTACGAAATAAAGTTGCATGGAGGTCCACCGGAAAGGGAGGGACTTTGGCTCTACCACTCACTACAGGTTGGCGAAGTCCCTCCATGGGACCTTATTTCGGAAAAATTATGTATTGAAGTCAATGGAGAGAGAAAGATTATCTTTCGATCCCGTTTGAATTGTGCCACGAATTACACATATGATGTTTGTCAATTTAAAAGATAATTTTGCAAGTCAAAAAAAATAAAATGTGTCGTAAAACTGTGAAGTAACACATTTTTTTGTGTGAAACGCTCAATGAACTACATCTCTGGTCTCGCATAACAACACACGTGGTGGTGGTGGCGAAGTCGATAGGGACTTGGCTTGGCAACTGGAAGGTCACCAGTTCAAGTCCCGGCAAGACCAAGTGCTACCGAGGTGTCCCTGAGCAAGGCACCGTTCCCTACACTGCTCCCCGGGCGCCGTCCACGGCAGCACACTGCTCCTAACACTAGGATGGGTCAAATGCAGAGGAACAATTTCGTTACATAGTACCTGTACTGTGAAATGACAAAAAGAGCAATTTATTTATTTACACGTCACCAAGATGGCCGTCACTACTGTCTTGTCAAAAAAGGGATTGACTACCCTCACTATCACCACAATGAAACACGTCCAGAAGAATGTCATGCAAAGCTGCCTGCCTGCCTGCCTTCCTTTGATGATTCCAAAATGTGTCGTAAAGCTGTGAAGTAACACTTTTATTTGTGTGAAACCGCTCAATGAACTACATCTCCCGTCTCGCACCACACACCAAGACAGCCGTCACGTTGGCACATTTCACTTCTTTCTTTCAGAATGAGGCGAAAAGTATTAAAGGGCCCATGTCATGCTTTTCCGGTTATTACCCGTCCCCTTGTGTGTTATGAAGGTTTTTATGCATGTAAACGGTGTGCAGAGTCAAAACCCTCAAAGTACACCCTGTAGCGAGTAAAACTCTAACACAGAAAATACCTCCCCAAAACGCCTCGTTGGAGATACGTCACTGTCCACTTGATTCTTCCGGGTACCGCATGACATCATGCGGTACCCGGAACAAAATGGACCAATCCGGAAGAGCTATGGCCACACCCAGCGGCGCTGGCCGCACCCTCTGCCAGCCTACCATTTACTGTTGGAAGCTCTGGTTCAGTTCACAATCGATCCAGTCATGCCAATGCCAAGGACCTGTTTCCTGAAATGTGAGGAGAAATCTGAGCTGTTTGTCCTACCGACGGAAGAACCACGACGAAGTCAGTGGTTGAAATTTCTTTTTAACACTTTTCCTTCAGAGGTTCGAAGAACGTTACTGTGTGCGCGGCATTTCACAGACGAAAGCTTCCAAAACATTGCCCAGTTTGAGGCCGGATATGCACAGCATTTGAAACTGAAGGACGATGCTATTCCTAGTTTGTTTGGACCGTTTGGAGCAGGGGAAGATTCGGGTACACAACCTGTAAGTTTGCATTGTTATTTGTGTATTTATCAAACAAGACTGTTTAAATGTGTAAACGTGTGTCGGACTGCTAAGCCATTGACACAGTGCTAACTGTGCTAACTAAGTTGCTAGCGTTTCCATATATCAACTCTAATATCAGCAGATGGCCTTACATGTTTGTCATGGCAGGAGAATGTCTGCATTCAAATACGAAACGTAATTACATTATAGCTGGCGTAGCGTGTATGCTACCGAGCTAACCAACGGAGCTAGACATGGGTTTGCTCGGGAAAACATTTTTGTTATGCCAGCTACAATGAATGTAGCAGACTACCCGTATAAGATTGCAATTGTAAACACATTCTTGCTAGCCTAATATGAATCACTAGCTTTTGTTCATAGTGGTTTTATTACACTAAACAAGCCCAGCTTACTGGGCTAACGACGTTGCTAGCGTTTAAATATATCAACTACAATGTCAGAAGATGGCCTTACATGTTTGTCATGGCAGGAGAATGTCTGCAGTCACACACGGAATACTCATACAGTATACTCCGGGTGATTTACCGTACATTGTGACAGTACATGTACATACTGCATGTATAGCTAACAAGGCTAGCTATCCATGCTAGCGGAAAACAATGTATTCATGCCAGTTACAATGAATGACCGAACGTAGCAGACTACCCGTATAAGATTGCAATTATAAACACGTTATTGCTAGCCTAATATGAACCACTAGCTTTTGTTTATAGTAGTTTTATTACACTACATTATAGTTGCCGTTCCTCCGAGCTAGCGTTCATATCGTGTTTGCTACCAAGGTAAACAAGAAAGCTAGGTTAGCATATTAGCTGGCAAGCTTACTGTGTTGATTAGATAGATGGATTAGATAGATCCACACTCCTACCACTCCTACCACTCCTACTAACGAATCTAAAACAACTAAGTTTCTCTAATATTTTGTGATTTGCATTTGATTTCGTCCAGCCAGATCCTGGCGGACAATACATGACGGGACGGGACTACCACACTGAGGCCTCGTCCTAAAAAGCCCCGGCTGCGATAGGCAAGATGCCGACAACGGGGAGGAATGGATGATATACCGTGTATATATGTATATTTATGTTCATTTTGTACATTTCTAAAAATAAAGTTGAATGGAAATACTTAGTAGGCCTATCCTTTCTTCCCTGAATTATTTGCTCCTATAACATATCATTCATATATAGTAAACCATGATTTGATTTCTCATCAAACAGTAGTAGTTTATTACAGGTAAAAATAACTTACTCTTCTATAACAACAGTTGTAGGTACAGTTCGGTTAGTTAGCGTATAAAATATACGGCTGTACCGACGCCATTATAAGACTGATGTTCCGCTCAGATCGAGCCGAAAAAAGCACTGTTAGACATGGGCGGAAACTCTCTGGTGGTTGACTAATCAGAACAGAGTGGCCGAGCTGACCAATCGGAGCACACTAGGCTCACAGGGAGGGGGGGGCAAGAGCTCCAACGAGCCGTTTAGTGGAGAGAGTGAATACTGCTGAATACACATACTTTACAGAGATGCTGTATGCGAAACCAATGTGAGTTTGGAAAATTGCACAGTATAAATCTATTTTAGTATACCTCAACAATGGAATTATGATCAGTGGAAATGGCCATGACATGGGTCCTTTAAAAGAGGTGAAAATCACTACAAGTCTGGGCATGTTGAGAGCTGTACATACACAAAAGGGGAGTTAGTCGGTTCCGTAAGAGCCAGCATGCGGGACCGGGATTCTGGGATTTCACAGTTTTATGACAAACTGTGACTTTTTTGACATGGAAATTATTTTTTAAGATTGACAAACATCATATGTGTAATTCGTGGCACAATTCAAACGGGATCGAGAGATACGTTTTCTCTCTCCATTGACTTCATTTTTTCCGAAATAAGGTCCCATGGAGCTCCCCCGGAAAGGGAGGGACTTCGCCTCTCTATTGGTTCACAGATTTCTGCCTCCTTGTGGCGAGGAGAAGAATACACAAACAATACATTAATCCAGTGTATTACTACAGTTGGACAGAGATAATAATAATAAACTCATGCTTCCCTATGCTAAAAATGAGTCGCCTCAAATATTTTACTGAACTGAGTCTATAATGTTCTAAATCTAAACTGACTTTTATAACCTGAAATTACCAGCTTTAGCAGTAGCCTACTACAGGAACTTAAATTGCTATACTTTATAAGTACTGCTAAGAGTCTTAAAACGGCCAACCACTGCAGTTTATTCAAGATGGCGTCAGCATCAAAATGAAAGTCGATTTATACAAAGGAACTCGTTCAAACTGGCATCTTCATGGGTGTTAGGATTTGAAATAAATGTTATCAAAATAATAGATTCCCTTAAAAATCTCCACAAGGGTGCAGTTTAGTTCAGATTTAGGTATCACATACATATTCAGGATTAAACAAGCAATGAATAAAATATTCTAAGCAATATTATGGGGCTTATTTAAAACCTTGTCATTCATGGTAAAAAAAAAAGCTGATCTCAACAATACAGTATCATCACTGAAGTAATCCAACTACAATTCTGCATCCGAACTCAACTAAATCAATCCGTTGAGGAAGACCTTTTAAATTGATCAAAAGCTATGGAAAAGCCAGTTAATACACATATTAGTGGTGAGATTCTTTTGACGGCCGTTTCCGAGTTCAGGAATGAACTTCAAATAATATGTGTTGCTATTTAAGAACATTATATACAAGGTTTGCTGTACTTTAAAGTTTTGGCCGACATCCAAGTAGAAAATCTAGTGAACTAATCATTTGAATACAGCAGTAATGCAATAAGCTGGTGCTTCATACAAAGATCTGATTCTCAAGGGAAATTGAATTTGTGTCTACGGGCTAAGTTGGAACTGAAGTCTCTTTGATGTCTTCTTTGAGTGGATCCTACCCTGCTGTGTGTGTACGTGTGTTAGTCTATAATCGTTTGTGTGTGTGCACCCATTACCACAAAATCAGCAGAAAACAAAATAAGTCTCCCAGACATCAAAGAGACCCAGGAGGGAAGACGATCTGTTTTCAGTCATGGTGAGCCACGTTTCTCTCCCCAACTCGTTTCCCAGTCATCCCTCACTCCATCCCCCATGCTTACATCTCTACTGCCACCCAACCACTGGGTGGCACATGTGGCAAAGTCTTGCACCATGTCAGCATGCCCTGTCACGCAAAGCAAATATCCCTTCTTTGAGAGCAGTATGAGTGATGAGACCAGCTTTTCATCTGGGGATTTGGTGCTCTGACGCATTGTTTTCCTCCTTAGAGTGGCAATCTACACCTGCAGTCAGAAGCAATAAGGAGCGATGGAATGAGACTCTGGGGAATGTGTTGAACCATCCGAGAGAGTGATTGGGTATTTGGAAAGGAGAAATGAAGACAAGGCCTTAGAGGAGATGAATGAGGGTGAGAGTGAGTGAGAGACTGAAAATATATGTCTTTTAGTGAGGGGGAGAAAATTACTGCATTTTCAGCCTCAAGTAGAGGCAATTACAGATACATTTTAATGGGGATTATTTCCATCTAAGACTATAACAAATGTATTACAAGTGTGTATGTTGAGGATCACATTTTTTGTTTGGCAGTCTAAGACACTGTTGGTCAGTTTTGTTCACTTGCTGTTAAAGTGATTACTTTTACTCGCACTTGGATTAGGACTACAACTCTAAGTTTTTGGTTTTCCTTGTACTGTTTCTGTTCTGATTTTATGTAAAGCGTGTTTGAGCATTAGGAAAAGCGCTATAAAAATCCAATGTATTATTATTATTATTATTATTTCAGACAAAGAATAGGAAATTAAACTAAGCGATAAACATAATATGGTGTCAAAGTACATTTTCCAATCACAAGGAAGAAAAGCTTCTTAAAAGTAAGATACAATAATTAATAAATAAACCTATCGATGTACAGTAGGTAAGTAATGAAGACATTTCAAATAAAAACAAACAAACATACAAAGCAAAAATAGATAAAACTCTAAATTATACATCACAAATGTGCCACAAAATTATTATACAGCTTTATACATTTCTTGGATTTTTTAAGTTATTAAAAAGAACTAAGTAGAAACTATATTTCATGTTGTTGTGAAATGAGGAATGTGGCATACTTTTCACTACAAAAAGTTTGACTAGTAAAGTTGTATCACTTAATAGATGGCAACTTGAGGGCAACCAAAAAACTATAATAAAACACTGACCTTAAAATCTTGTAAAGGCTAACATGTTAGCCAACAATTGCAGACACAGAGCAACATTTGCATACATTTTGCTTTTTGCCAACTCCCAAGCAGAATATCGAAATATGATTCGATAGGAATAGATTGACATTGTTTGAAATCTTTGGTTTCTTGCCAATAGTTGGTTAAGAAGATTGATATTACTCATAAATGTTTGTTGTGTAGGTATGAACCTCCAGCACGCAGCCAGTTAGCATAACTTAGCTCAGTTAGCATAAATGCTGGAAACAGGAACAGCTTGTCTTGTCCAGTAAAGTGGGTGAGACATGACCAAAACAGACTATTGCTGTTGCCTGTGCACACACACACACACACACACACACACACACACACACACACACACACACACACACACACACACACACACACACACACACACACACACACACACACACACACACACACGTCCTAAGGGGTCATCATCTATCTCCTGTTTCCAGTCTTGATTCCTCATCTACTTTCTCGCAATGTCGCCACAAGGCAAACCTTACTCACTCTTTTACTCTTTGATCATTGATAAGCCAAAAACGTTTCTCTCCTTTTTATTTTTGATATGGTGTTTTCAGAATAAAGACCTAAATACTGTCTGTATAGTGTGTCAGGAGAATAGGAGTTTTCAGCTCCTGTTGGGTGTATGAGATTCTTTTTTCACCACATTAGTCTAAATGACTCTGTTTTTGTCTTGTTGCTGTGTGTGTGCATGTGAGTGTGAGCACAGATTCCATCCATCCATCCATCCAGTCCTTTGAGAACATGTTCACGCCTGTGTGGTGTATCAACATCATATCCCCCCCCTATCCTCCTCACTTCTCAGAACAGATTATGAGCGTTGGAGCTGACTGAAATGACTTTGAATTCTCCAAAGCCCCTAACCCCTGGGAACATACCTGTTCTTGCAAGCCTCAAACGTACAGGTGCCTCATTTCAAAAGACTCCTCTCTTTCTCTTCCTCGCTCCTTTCCCTCTCTCGGTTTCTCCCTCCCCCTTACGGCTGCAACTTTAGCCCTCGTCTGAACTAGAGGCCTATTGAAATACCTCCCCCTGGTCTAGTCTGCACTTCAAAGTCGACTTTCACCCCCGAGCCAGATCCGAGGAGCGGTCTGACCAGGAAAGGGCCCAGCCCCTGAATAGTTGGTATACTTCAAAGCTTGTAACATTTAGTTATGAGCCTTTCGAAAATTGGAAAACATATTGATGCTATAGTTATTATGAGAAAGACAAATATTAATCAGGCTATAAACTTCGTCCAGATCTTTCAAATGCGTTTTATTGCATTTTACCAAAGTGTTTTGATCCCTTAACTTATTATTTTATTTCCCCGTTTTAATGTTGTCCTTATAGCCATTGTGGCCATTAATGATTAAATAATACATTTAAAAGCCTCTTGGATCAGCTGGAAAATCCATGGTCACATAACTGTAAACATGACTGTTTTCTTCTGAGAGACTGTCATGATTGGTCTGTGTTTTCCCTGTTTTATTTTGTAATGTCACGATCTGTCTGTTTCCCTGTTTTATTTTGTAATGTCACGATCTGTCTGTTTCCCTGTTTTATTTTGAAAAGTCTTCACTCCCTGTCTTATGTCTCTTTTTACTTCCTGTCTCTGTGTTTTCCCTCCTGTTTGATTACCTGATTGTGTTCACCTGGTCCCCCTGTGTTTTTCTTCCCTCCCTACCTGTTTCTTGTCCATGTGATTATGCTTGCATGTATTTAAGTTCTGGGTTTCTGTCAGTTGTTGTCAAAGTCTTGATGTTTGATGTTCACACTTAATGAGAGCAAATTCTGTTCTTTTTTGCCCTGCTTTCTTCCATGGTTTTGCCAAAAGACTTTGGTGTGCTGCACTTGGGTCCTCGCTGATGTGCTCTCCAGCACGACAGAAACATAAAAAGTAGACTTTTTAGAGATACGTAGTTCATATAGGAGAGCGACAAGGCTACAAATGAATGATATCTTATAGGTCATGATGCATTGCAGTAAATACAATTAACCAACAGTATATGAAGTTAAAGTTAACCAGAAACACAACCTGAAACATTAAAGGTAGGGTAGGTAAGTTTGAGAAACCGGCTCGAGATCGCTAGAATTTGAAAATACACAACCGGAGAAAATCTGCCACTTCCTTATAGAGCCCCTCCTCCAACACACACGAACGCGCACATGACCAATGAGGGCACGAGATAAGTTTGTGCACAGATGAAAGGCTGACAGGCAGGTCGGCCATCCAGTTATTTTAGCCGGGCCGGCTAAAATGATTGGTCGTGCTTTTTACAGTATTACAGCTTCCACAGATGAACATTTTTTATGGATTTTTTGTCAAAGCACTTAAGATATTCATTGCTATCGGGATGTTAAGAGCATTCCATGGAATATAACAAAAAGTGTATCTCGAGCCGGTTTCTCAAACTTACCTACCCTACCTTTAACAACAGTAGAATGCAACAAACACATTGATGCAGCAATAATCCAGAATCATCATAAAAATCAGTTAAAATGTTCAGGTGTCTGGTCTTTTTTCAATATACAGGAAACATTTGATGGATTCAGCTGGCGGTTTTCACTTTTTTAGGGACATTCGAATATCAGATTTTTGGGAAGAGGGGAGAGATGCTCTTTAAGTCAGGTTTTCAATCAAGGATTTATTGAATGTAGTGAGTAATTAGAACTTTGGCTTAATTAAAAAATCTGAATATACTTCTTTCATACAGCTTTTCCTTATATATTTAGGAACCCATTAATAACATTTGTATTATTATATTCAAAGTACTGTCAAGCATCCCTCCCTCAGTGCTGGTATTTTTCCCCCTCTGTCAAATTATTTTCATGAGAGTTATCCCACTGGGATCTTTGCAGTGACATCATGCAAACATGTGAATAGTCTGAGCCGGCGGGAGTCATCATCGTTCTGTGTCATCAGAGGGAAAGCATCTCCCATAATCTGGGGGTTGTGGGGCCCATTCATTGCTTTATGTAATAATATGCTGCAGTGATGCGCTCTTCTGGGAGCCATGAATGTAAATGTCCCCCCCCCCCCACCCCACCACCACCACTCTCATCATCTCCTTTCTTCATTAAAACATAACGTCAGCACCATGCCAACAAAGGGACAATTCACAGAGGCTGGGAGCCCGCTTGGTACGCATAGTTCTGCACTGATGGACTGATCAACCACTCTCAAATGTTCCCTTTGGGAATTATTAGTAACCTGTGATCTTGTGTTTATTTCATATTTGTTCATTTATCCAGGCAAGTCAATTAAGGACAGATCTTTATTCAGAATGACAGGCAGGAAGGGGGGGGGGGGGGGTTGCACAGGCAATGAGTATCATCAGTTATATGATAATGATGTATGGAAATCTGTAAAAGAGTGAAGTAGCTCGGGTGTAGGCTTTGAATCTAGGGATGAACATTTAGCATAAATCCACAAACATAAATAACAATTATTTTCCCATTTAAAAACCAGTACTCAAATTAGATTACTTTAAAAATGCATGTTCATTTTGGATAAGATTGTGTGAAATCTTGTTAAAAATACTTTGAGAATTTTGAGAGTTTGGGAATAGCCAGCTTAAGATTGAATAAATCAATGTCACAATTTATTTATTTGTGCGCACAAACTGTCATTTTTGGCTATGAATTAATTGAATCATTCCCACATTTTGGGTTGTTTGTGCTCACAAGATCAATATACACAGAGAGATCTAACACAACAGACCAGCTTTCCTCCCTAAAAAATGAAGTGCACCTACTTTAGGTATATGTCCAGCGGTGAGTAACCATGAACATATCCATTCATTGGAATGATACCAATGATACAATCAACAAGCTCCTTGTTAATAACAGTTATCTCTTGAAAGGCAAGTGTTACCAATTGTTTTTTAGTCAACAACTTGTTGTCAGAGCAGAAGGAAACTGTTTAACTCAACGAGAAGATATTAAAAGAGAACAGAACATAGCGGTGCAGTCATTTAATATCACATGAAACATCATAATTAGCCAATGAATCTTACTGCTATGACTTTAACTACAAAAAGAAAACTTCCCACAACTATGGCCAGCTATCCACTCTCAAAGTCCTTCTCATCCTCAGCACTCTCTCAGCCTAAACATGTGGACA